AGCGTGTTAGTCTCCTGAATCTCATGGCAATGACACTAATTACGGTGTTTAAGAGGTGGGAGTTTAGCGAAGTAATTAGGCTGGATTTTGCCATGAGGGTGAGGCCCTCATCATTGAATCTCAATGGCTTCAAAAGGGGAGAAAGAGGTCACACATACAGACACACACTGTCTCCCCCTTGTCACATGGTGCCCTGTCAGCAAGAACTCCATCACCACAGACCAAAGCCATGGCCCACCCATCATCTCAAACTACGACCCTTCAGAACCATGAGCCAAAGTAAAGCTCTGTTCTTTACAAAGTGCCTGCAGCTGGCAGTTTAAGTAATGACACATTAGCCTTGGTGAATTCAGAACATCTACATCTAAACCAAAATATCAAATGACTCAAGAGAATTAGAATCTTCACATCTAACACATTCCTCTATCTATAAAACCTAGCTAAAATATAAGACTATACTACCTCAGAACAAAATACCAAACGCACTTAACAGAATAAAAAATGTAAGTAATGCAATAGTCACTAAAGTTCTTAAGGGAGAAAACTATAAAACAATGCTCTTTCCAGATTCAGTCCAAAACTGCAATGCAAATTCTCTATTACATATTTCAACTTAAAATCAAGAAACTATAATCAGATATTCACACTTTCAAACAAAAGCTATGTAACAGATGATGGAAATGGTTCACAGTGACAGAACACCACTAATCACAAGGCCAACTCATCTATTTCCTGTTTCAATTTGAAACAGAAATGCATGATTCAAGCATTTTGAATGGAAATAAAAATTCACTAAATGTACATGATCAGCATTGTTATTTTACCAAAGACTAAAATCATTTAATGGGTCTAACGAGTTCCTTAAAATATATATTGCCATTGCCTTTTTAAACGAAGCCAAATGATGTGCTGCCTGTCACGCCTTTCAGCTACCTGGGCATCTGCCACAACTACTGGCACCAGCATGGACTTAAAGAGCTCCGTCCTCCTCCACATCCACGCTAGTCAGTGTGTTGCGGACAGGTGGTCCCTGCAAACTCCGGCACAGGGCAGCAGGGTCCTCAGAACTCAAGCTAACATAAGCCACCAGGAACACATGATCCCTTCCCTCTGTTCTACTCCATTCCTATAACATTCTTTTCTTTCTTTCTTTTTTTTTATTTGACAGATAGAGTTAGACAGTGAGAGAGAGAGAGACAGAGAGAAAGGTCTTCCTTCCATTGGTTCACCCCCTAAACGGCCGCTAAGGCTGAAGCTACACTGATCCGAAGGCAGGAGCCAGGTGCTTCTCCTGGTCTCCCATGGGGTGCAGGGCCCAAGCACTTGGGCCATCCTCCACTGTCCTCCCGGGCCACAGCAGAGAGCTGGACTGGAAGAGGAGCAGCTAGGACTAGAACCTGGTGCCCACATGGGATGCCAGCGCCACAGGTGGAGGATTAGCCAAGTGAGCCCCTGCACTGGCCCCCACATTCTTTTCTTTAACATTTCTATTCTTTTTGTTTGTTTGTTTAACATATTAAAGGCACAGTAACAGGGAGAGAGATCTTCTATCTGCTGGTTCACTCCTCAAATGCCCACAACAGCCAGGGCTGGGCCAGGCCAAACCAGGAAGTCCATCCAGGTCTCCCATGTGGGTGGCAAGGACCCAAGTATTTGAGTCATCATCTGTTGCCTCCCAGGGTACACACTACCAGGAGACTGGATTGGAAGCAGAGGCAGAACTCTATCCTAGGCACTCTGAAATGGGACACGGGAGTCCCAAAAGGCAGCTTAAGCCCCTGCACCACAATGCCCCCACCCCATCATGTCTGTAACATTCTTTAACAGCTTCTCAGTTTGACCATTCACCTATGTCAATCTTGGTATTCACGTGTTAAGCCACAAATAACCTCAGATGTTACTCCTAGAAATGTGAATGAGGACTCAAATAGCCACATACAGCTTAATCTAGGTGGGTGGTCCCTTTCTCCCTCAGGCTGTAGTATGAATCTATTTTAGTCTCCTAATGTAGTATAGAAGTTTTTAGGCAGAATACAGATTTTTAAAAGCTTTTTTTTAACAGTTAATTATTTTAAAGATTTTATTTATTTGAGAGTTACAGAGAGAGGGAGAGACAGAGAGGTCTTTCATCTGCTGGTTCAATCCCCAAGTAGCCACAACAGCCAGAGCTGGGCCAATCCAAAGCCAGGAGCCAGGAACTTCTTCCGGGTCTCCCACGCCAGTGCAGGGACCCAAGCACCTGGGCCATCTTCCACTGCTTTCCCAGGCCATAGCAGAGAGCTGGATCAGAAGAAAGGCAGCCGGGACTCAAACCGGTGCCCATATGGGATACTGGCACTGAAGGTGGAGGATTAACCTACTGCGCCACGGTGCTGACAACAGTTTTATTTAATGTCTCTCTCCTTCTCTCTTTTATGTGTATATACACATACACACACACACACACACAACCTTACATCAAATTACAGATACTGTTTCATAGGATGTAGCTAAGACGACACTCTAAAGATACTTATAAAGTAAATAACAGAAATTTTAAAGGCATTAAAAGTTAGTAGCAAGACGGATGGCAAATAACTCAGTCAAAAATTGGGACGATGGTATACAAGCGACTGAAAGTGAAAAACTCGAATCTACTTCAGCATCAACAGGAACCTGCTAGCCCCACCTCACCTGGGGTCTCCAGAGCCAAGGAAAAGCACTTTTCACAAGGCAGCCCCTAGGGAGCGAGCACGCTTCCTAAGGTCAACAGCACCCACCGACCGCTTGCTCAATGGCTGAAAGGCGTGCTGGGACAAGCGACACGTCTGCGAGTCCCATTCTTTCTCCTGGTTTGGACGTGCCAGAATGATGGCGCTACACTACAGCAAAACCTCAGTAAGAAGTGTGAGAGGGCAGAAGGTGGCCATGAAACTCAATTCTTCTCTCTTACTAAGTAATTGGTAAGCGCCTCAAAAGAACCCTTCCATTTGCTCCGTATCCTTGAGGATGCAGGGACATGGCATGAAACAAATGAACACTGAGCTACTTCAATTGTAAGCTAAGAAACTCCTAATTCTAGCACTCCATAGGCTAAGCAGATACACAGATTCAGGAAGGCTCGGGCAACACTGCAAACGATGGAACACCTGAGTCTGATTCTTGGTATTTCACTCAAGGGCCATCCAATGCTCTCTGGTCTCCCACAGTCTTTCCAGCTAGAATCCTGCTGCTACAGCCCTGGGAGACTGGCCACCTCAAGCGCACCATGGTGCTGTCCCCTCTTCTTCATGTCCCACTCATCTTTAAAACCCAGCTCGAATATCACCTCTTCTGTGACACCCTCCCTGGCTCCCCCACGCAAAGCCAAGCACTCTCCTCCCTGTTCTCCCTCTCCCTCACAGTCCAAAAGATTCTGCAAGCCCAACTGAACTGGCATCCATAATTGCTCATTTATACATCCACTTCTCTCTCTCCTCTCTGTCACTGTCTCCGTCTCCCTTCTCTTTCTCTCTACCTCCTTCTCCCACCGTGGGAACACCGTGTCACTCATCTAGACACCAGTATCTACCACAGAGGCTGGCACACAGTGGGTACTCCACGTGTTTGTTGCCTAAAGCCCTTCCTTTCCCTGCAGAGCGTGGGGCAAGGTAAACCACTTCCTAGTCTCCATGTTACAGGTCCAGTTCACTGCCCGTTCCTTTAACTGCCACTCAAACTGTCTTTCCCTTTGATGGCCAAGGAAGGCAGCGACAAGCGAAGCCCACCTGAATTTCTAGAGAACTATGCTCCTTCCAGACTATTCCTCACCCAACTAGGCCTCGGCAAACTCGGAGCAGCTGCTACTGCAGAGACGCCTATCTCAGCGAATGCACGAGCCTGCGCAGCTGGACCCCGGGTTCAGGGGTCATTTCTTCTTCCCTCCTGCAGGTGTAAACTCAGGCTGTGGGAATGCGGAGCCTTCCGGAGACATAGATGCCAGCGAGAGAAAACAACCGTGAATCAGGTTGCCATCTTTGGTCAACATGGGAAGAAAAAACAAAAACCAAAATATCACCACCTCCTTAATGTCTCTGGAGATAAGCCAGCACCCACGGGCTATCCTCACACTAACGCGTAAAGCCCTAAAATATTCTCCTCCCATCTAAAACACTGAGCCTGAAAACGCCTCCACACGACCCTAGTCACCTTAGAGAAGTACCACGTTTTCAACCTGACCATATAGAGTTTGTATTTTTATGCCTAGCCCCAGCCACTTCAGAAGAATAAAAGGATAAAATAGCTCACCTCCTGGTGCAAGTCAACAAAAAACACAATGAATGAAGCAAACATCTCTAGGAGCTGTAATCTGCGAAACACTGGATCACTCAGCCTGACAAGCCTGTGCCCCTCCTCGCGCCCCAAAATACGCACAATTAAACCCAAAGGGCACATTCCCCAACCGCGAGGGCAGGAAAGTCTGAACACCGCCCCCTCCCCCCCCCAACAGCAAGGGACCCAGCCCCTCCACAACCTGCAGGGTAAACACCGCCAACTTAACAATGGCATCACCGCCTACGGCAGGCCCAGGGCCATTTGTGGAGCCGGCCTAGCTACCCCAGCAATGTGGACGGGCCAGAATCGCGTTTTCAGATGTCTGGCTGCGTGACGAGCTCTCAAGAGGCTGCAGCTGCTGCGGGTCCTGGGGGCTGACTTTGACATCAAGGGGCCGCGGCTCGCCGAGGACGGCTTTATCCGACCGCTCGCTTGTAGGGGTCGGGTTATGGGGGTCCTGGGGGGCGATGGAGGGAGGAGGAGGAAACTGGGCAGCCCAAGAACCCGCGTCGGAGGTCTTCGATGTTAATTGCCGACCTCATGAATTTCTGATCGCGGTTACAAGGCCAGTCCCGAGAAAACGCAAAACACTGCTCGTCCAGTCCACCTAGCCGAGAAGACAACTGGGATTCTACCTAACGAGGGGCCCTGCAGGACGGGGGGAGGCCCCGGGAGCCGGCGGGAGGCTGGAGCCGGGGTGTACCTACCCGTCGAAGCGGACGGTGCCGGTCTGTTGGGTCTGCACCCGGTAATGTTCCAACAGCAAGCGCACCACCTTGGCGTGCCCGTTGCGGGCTGCGATGATGAGGGGCGTGGAGCGCTGCCCTCCCTGCTGGCTCACATAGCCAAGCAGATAGCGGATGTCGCTTTCAGACCGGTTGAGGAGCAGGGCGGCCAGAGTCAGCACCTTGCCCTCGCTGGCCGCCTTGTACACATAGCCAGCCAGGCCCTCCATGGCCGCCGCCAACTCCAACACCCGTTTGGTCGCCACCGCGGCTGCTGCCTTGCGCCCCCGGAGGCCGCGTCCGCCGAGCACTTCAAACCTGGGCCCTCACAGCCCATTCAACAGGGCGCCGCCGCCGCCGCCGCCGCCGCGCCCAGGCAGCAGCGCGGCCCGGGGAGGGCGGAGACGCAGAGGCGGCCGAGTGCCGCAGCGGGCACGTCCGCCACCCAGCCGGGCCGCGGAGGAGGGCGGTCAGGGCCGCCCCCGAGGCCCCAGGCGCCGGCCCTGGGCCGAGGGGATCTCCATGGCGGCCGCCGCCCCGGGCCTCAGGCCGGACCCCTCCTTCCTCCGGGCTGCGACAGGCGCGCGCCCGAGCTACGGGTCGCCGGCGGGGTCCCGCGAGGGCCGCGTGCGCCCCGGATGGCGGACGACGGGCGCGCCTCGCCCGCCTCGCCCGCCTTGCCCGGGCCACCCGGCCGAAGGCCTGGGCCCGCCTCTGCCTCCGCTCTCCGCGTTCTCCGGCCGCGGGCAGGCCGCCGACGCTCGCCCGCCGCAGCTCAGGAGTGCGGGGCGGCGCTGCGGCTGGCGTCGGCGAGCCCCGCGTGGGTGGCCCCGCAGCGACGCGGAACGCGCCCACAGGAGCGGCGCCGGAACTCGGGGCGGGGAGGAAGGCGAGCCTCCTCCGACGGCGCCGGCTGGGGCGGGCGGAGCCGGACGGGCGGTTAGCTGGGTGTCTCCTCCAAAGCCGGCCGGCCGGCAAACGCGGCCGCGGTGAAGAAAGGTTCTGCTGCGCGGAGCCGGCCCGCCTCCGGGTCGGGCCTGGATGTCCTCAGTACCCTTGACGCCCAGGGCCTTCTGCCCGCCCCTCCGCGGCCCTGGGGGTCCCAAGGCGGGGTAGGGGGTGGGGGCCGGGGCGAGGACGTCGAACTGGTGGGTTAGGGAGCCCGCCGTGTTTTGCCACCGACGCTGCGGGACGGCCCTCTACCCCCTGGTCGGGGGGCTCGGGAGGGAGATGCGCGCCCCCAGAGGGTCTATATTAGAAGAAGGGCGGCGTCGCCGAGCCCGCGAAAAATGGAAGGGCCCGCGGGCTGCTGCCCCGGGTTCTAAGGAGGGGCCGGAAGTCGCTGGGGAGGGGGATTCGGGGTGTGGGGCGCGTTGAGGGGAGCTGATGCCGCTGGGGAGGGGGCGAGGCGTGCGCGGCGGAGGAAGGCAGGGTCCCTGGGGAGATGGCGCTCCGTCCCTGAGCCTCAAGAACGTCCGTGTTCTCAAGAACGTCCAAGATTGTTGTTGGCATCTGAAAAGCTCGTTTATCCGACGAATGCCTGGGCGCTACTGTGTGCCAGGCTCCGCTCAGCACTCGGGATTCCGCGATGGAACAGGCCCCTCTCCCCCGGGGGCTTGTGTTGGGGGGAAGCAGACAATAAACAAATGATGGCCGAGACGCGGTCCTGTCGCCATTTGCTGTCAAACGAATGGAAGGGGGGTGATGGGAGACTAGTCTGCACGGTCGGGCGGGACCTCCACGTCAGAGGGCATCGCTGCTACAAACGCCCCGAGAGAGGAAGGGGTGGTGAGCCAGGACCAGGAAGGCCCCTGAGGCTGCAGCAGGAGCTGCCCTTGAGGGAATGGGAGATGAAGACGGCTGGATGCCCATCCAGCCCGGGAACCCATGACAAAGGGCTTCAGGTCTACCCAGTGATGGGGGCATTTGAAGAGTTTTAGAAATGACAAGATCCTGATGATATCTTTTTAAAAAAAATCACTCTGGCTTCTGTGTGGACAAGGACCCCAGGAAACAAGAGTAGAAGCGGAGAGGTCAGTTAGGAGAAGCCTGGGATTAGGACGGTAGGAGTGGAGCCGAGGACGCTCTGGGAGCAGCCTTGGAAAGTCCAAGTGCGGGGCGGCGCTTCTCTCCCTCCTCACCTTCCCACCTTCCCCCAAGGGGATCATACCTGCCCTAGAGAAGAACAAATACATTTTCTTTTGACTCCAAAAACTGGGGCTGCACTCCACAGGTTCACAGGGATTATTCTATTGGAGCCCTACTGTTCCAGTCCCAGGAGTTGAAGCCTGCACCTCCAGTGCTGAGCTCCTGGGGGCAGGGGACACTTGTTAAATCTACAGCACAACTCTCCTTATTTGCAGCCCCCTACACTGACACTGGACTTTTCCCCCCATATTAAGGATTAAAGATGAGAATCTCCCGATAGCGTCTCTGAGGGAGCTGGTGGGAAAGAGGGGGAAGCTGGCTGATTGCATTCTAGGGCTTGAAGACTGTAAGACAGTCCAGTTTTGGGCAGGTTCACCCAGGATTCTTGGGCTCTGGGGTCACAGCAGTGACACATTCAGATGTGAGACACAGTTTATCTTCTGACTTCCTTCTCTGCCTCTACAGAGCAACCAGGCTCTCTCCTGTCTGATTCATTCTCTCTCTCTCCCTCCTTCCCTCCCTCCCACACCTCTCCTCTCACCCCCACTCCAGCTTGGATCACCAGGGCGTAAGCTGACACTCATGGAAGACAGCCTGCCTCCCTAGGTGAGACCCTCTCCTCCCAGCCTTTGGCCCACCCACATCTCTCCATCACTCTTTTCCCGTTCAAAACACAGGTGCCTTGTTCCAGTTTTGTTCCCTAAACAAGACCTGATTCACACAGACATTCATTGCTCAGTAAGACTCCCTTCTTCCTCCCACCTCAGCTGGGTGCTAGAACTGGGTGGATACTAAAAGGGGTGACTGGACCAAGGCTCACACCTGAGAGAGGCGCAGAGCCTCCGCCACCAGGCAGGAATACACCTCTGCCCCAGCAGCCCCGGGTCGGGAGTTTGGGGCTGCTGTCTTCATGTATATTTGTCACAGTGGCTTTGGACAGGGTTCTGGGACGCCTTGGTTGCTAAATAGCTCTTTGAATAGAAACTAGGTGGCTGCTTCTGTTTACCTAGGTTTGGAGGGTGATGTTTTTGTGGTCATCCTGTGCAAATTGGGAGAGAGCGTGTGTAAGCAGGACCATTACCCTCCCCCTGCACAGAATTCCACTGAGCAAATGAACAAAAATAAAGTACAACTCCAAGGACCTGGTTCCCGGCGGAGACTGATTTGCTAATGACGACGCTCTGTAGCCTTCTACCTGGACAAAAACTGGAGCCACATTTCCCGGGACGCTGCTTCCCAGGGGCTGAGGTGGTTGAGAGTTGGTGGATCGGATCCTTTTCCCAAGGCAGGCTGGCCCAGCCTTAGAGCTCTGAGCCAATGCAGTGTCTCAGATTTTGCATGGAGTGCATGGAAAATGTGGCTTTTCAAGTGCCAGGGCAGACACTTGTTTTGGTCCTATAACTCTCCCACGCACAATAGAGGAAGAGGGCAACTCTCGGTGTTGAATACATCTGGGTTGGACTCTCCCGCCTACAGGCTGGCTGTGGCCTTGGCCAAGTTTCTTCATCTGCGTATCTTCCCCAGCAGGACTGTGTGATGCTGACGTGACGCTCTGTCGCCAAGCCTGGTCCTGGGGAAGGGTGCCTGTCACTACAGATGCCTGTCTCCCTGTCTCCCAGCCCAGCGGTCACCCTTGGATTGTGCCCTGCACCTGCTTGAGAAAGGTCTTCCCACCCCATCTGCAGGATGTGCCTGCTTCTGAGAATGCAGAGGAAACCCACAGTGAGGGGCCGGGCGGGGGAGGCTGAGGAATAAGAGTAGAAATTCCAGACAACGCTTCCCTTCGCTGGAAGTCTCCAGAAATCAGGATGCCTAACAAGACCCCCCCCCCGATGAAGAGTCCCCCTGAGCCCCGTTCACAGGCTGAGCACCCACTGGCCTCTGCCTCCCTGCCCACCTTTTTACTTTTCCCTGAAAAGCATACCTAGGAGCTAGCACTGTGGCACAGCAGGCCAAGCTGCCACTCCCATAGGAGTCCCTGCTGCTCCACCTCCAATCCAGCTCCCTGCTCCTGTGCCTGAGAAAGCAGCAGAGGGTGGCCCAAGTGCACCGGCCCCTGCACCTACTTTGGGACATCAGGAAGAAGCCTCTGGCTCTTGGTTTCGACCCAGCCCAGCCCCAGCTGTTGCAGCTGTTTGGGGAGTGAACCAGCGGGTGGAAAATGTGTGTGTGTGTGTGTGTGTGTGTGTCTGTATCTCCCTCTCTCTCTAACTCTGCCTTTCAAATAAATAAATAAATCTTAAAAAAAAAAAAAAGCAGATCTAATGATTAGCAAAACAAAGCCAAGGGGAGTGAAGGGGGAACTGACCTATGTTATGTTGCTAACCGGTCACCCCTGCCCAGTTTAGATTCATCAGGAAAGTAGATGAAGTGGCCGTGTGTGTCTGCTCTGTTCTAGCTCCTCCCACTCGTCCTGGGACAGTGGTCCCAGCCAGGATAGCAACAGCTAGCACTTACAGAGAGCTTGTGTGTGCCAGGCAGCACAGTAAGCACTGTACATGGATTAGCGTGTTGAATTCACCCAAGCCCGAAGTACATCTCCTTATTCTCATTCCCAATCTTCAGATGAGCAAGCGGAGGCAGAGGGCTGGTGAGCAGCTTGCCCACAGCACAGCCTCATAGCTAGAGCGTCACAGGGATGACACCCCGGCTCCTGCTGCCAGCCTTCCATGCCCCCTTCTCCCCCTCCCCACCCCATCCTGCTCTCTGCAGTTGGGATCCCAGTTTTCTGCGGTTCTGATCGCTTCACTCGGGCCCAGGAGCCCACTGGGTAATCTAATCAGCTATCCAGTGCAAGGAAAGGCTGTAGGAAATCCCCCCCCAACCATGTCCCACACACCGTGGACATTCCCCATGAACGCGGCTTCAAATCCAAAGCCAATGCCATCTCATCTTGCAGATCTTTCTTGATTTGCCCTGAGCTCTCCTCTGTCTCTCCTGTCACCCTCGCCTCCTCCTAGTAATAACTCATGTCTGTACTGTACATTATATCCTGCAAAGCACTTTGCCACCCTGCCCTTCCGCCGGCCTGGCTACCTTCTATGACAGAGATGGCAGAGAACATGAGGGTTCAGAGACAGAACCACGCTCTGGATCCCTCTCTGCCTGCAACCTCGCTCCCTCCCCGGTGTGTGACGCTGGACCATTACTCACTTGACTTCTCAATGTGTCAGTTTCCCTGTCTGTGAAATGGGGACAATAATAGCAACTCCACCCTAGGGTTGGAGGATTGGAAGAGATAAACCAACCCGCCATCGTTATCATCATCTCACTGAATCCACCCCCAAATGTCTGCAGGAATGAACAAAGCAAGTCAGTTCTTGTCATCAATCCAAATGAGCTTAAACCTCTAAGGCTTCCTCCAGCTCCATCAAGCTGTGACACCTTGAGCAGCTCAGCGACCTACTTACTAGTACCTCAGTTTTCTCATCTGTAAAGTGGGCATGACAACAGTAACTGCCTAATAAGCTGGTTGTAAGAGACCGAGTGAGCTAATAGAAAGGCCCCTGGAACTGTGCCTGGCAGATGCTTGGTGTGTGTCATGGAACAGGCAAGGAGACATCAGGTAGCATCCTGAGCCACAGGGGATCAGTCCCACCGATTCCACGGCCTCAGTCCTCGCCCAGGATGGAAACCGTCCCATCTGATCCATGTGCATTTGGGCAGGAGCCTTCTCTGTCCACGCCTGTCAGGTCTCTTCC